TTTACAGCTTTGAGACAAGAGCGCTTTGTTGTACTTGGTCTTCTGTCGGTTACTGATTTCCTTAGTGGTCTTGTAAYCCAGCCCCTTCTTGTTGGAAAAGAACTGTACCATTTAACGAACAAACAAGTGAACTGTGACCTCGATGGCGCTTTTTACCTCAGTGGTACGTTATTATCGTCTGCTTCGTTATGTCAGTTAGCCTGCGTTACGTATGAGAGGTACGTTGGTATAACGGATCCACTGAACTATCACGCAMCRCGTCGCATCACCWTATCCAAACTASTTTGCGTAGCAGTAGTGAATTGGCTCGTCCATGTCATCGTGATTMTAGTTTACGGAACAACACTCTTAATTCAATACACCATCATCGCCATCCTTATCCTTGCKATTGTGCTTATATTTTGCATTTTTTATTGGTATATTAAGATTTTTAGAATATTGAAAAGGCATCASCGAGAAATACTAGCACAGCATCGCAGTGTGCAASCTGAATCTGACTTGATCAGACATCTAAAGGATCGAAAGTCAGCCAGTACGGCYGCGTGTCTTGTAGTGGCTTTTGGTSTGAGCTTCTTGCCAATCATCACCATCACAATCATCTCTTTCGTTAAAACGTACGATGGTTCAGATGTCAGAGGACCTTCTTTCTTTGCWCTTGARCCATGGATTGACATATGCGTGCACTTAAACTCCCTATTCAGTCCTCTTATTTTCGGATTCCGAACTTCCGAATTTAAAAGATTTTTCCGAACCCTTTGTGGTTGTCGGTCGCATAATAGTGTTGCCCCTCAGGCATTCGTATTGGGAGTAGAGCTGCATGAAACGAGATCTATACCAAACAATAACCATACCTCTACCCATTTYGTACCTCTGAACACGCCCATGCAAATTGATAACCGTGTGAATGCAGGTACATGAAAAGAGATTAGACAGAATTGATCAATAATTAAAGACACCAAAGCCTGTAACATACTTGAATCTAATATAGCATGAATGCAATGTGTCTATGAATCGGAGTATATGACTTAACAAGCGCAATGATTGTTACAATTTTCACATTTACGAAAATTTTGTACWGGATGATTGGAACTTTGCAAGTAAACTAAATCGACCTACAGAGAAATGCGACTAGTGCAGCCCTTGGGTATATATATAGAAGTAAAGGAAAGGATCGGTATCGGTAGTACAAATCCGAAGGTCGTGGGTTCGAATCCCAACGAGGCCTTAAATTAGTTTTTACGAGTTTATTTCCAAGGGTTTTTCTCCCAGAATAACCTCCTTTCTAGCACTATTTCCGCTTTCCTTTATTTCTATATCATGTTTGCCCATAGTGCCATGCGGTCCTCATATTCATAAKCCTTGGGTAGTCGTATCACCCTCGTATTATGCGTTCTCGGTGGTTATAAGTCACAACCCCGCGGCTTTGGGCGAGTTTTATTAGTACAAAAACACCGAGCACGTGACTAACTGAATGATATGTACACAGTGTACACATTTTCGAAAAGATTTGTCAGTCAGAAATACTAATTTTGCGACTTCAAAAGTCGAGAAAAAGGGAAATTGGCATCAGAACTCAAAAATTTTGTAATTCTTGCAACGGTCTCTGTGSGCGAAGGACGCCCGATTCTGCATCTTTTGCTGTTTACACTTTTATGTATCTGGAAAACTTAACCCGAGGCACCTGCTCCTTGTGTTTGTTTTCTGTCAGTTTACGCATTGGAGCGTCAAAACGACCTGTTACGGTTTAACAAGAGATCAAGCATTAAACTGATCTCTCTTGAAGTCGAAACATCACACAAACATAATTTGATTAGCATAAAATTAGTCCTTCTTCTGCCACTCATTAGGGACGTCTATAAGAAATCGCATATATTTATATTTCAAAAAAATGTATTTATCTTTCCTTTGTTTCGATATTTGTGATGTATTGTTACCATTTAGTAAATATTTACCCATTTCATTAAATTGTATTATTTGTTTAATGTTTCTAAGTAACGTATAAAATCTAAACGGATGACTTCAATATTTGCTCTTCAATGTAGTCAAAACTTCTCGTTGGAAGGCAARCTCTCCGAACCAATAAAAATTCTYGAAGTCAAGAGAGAAAGGTGTGTTGTCATGACCTTGTTTTGATCAAACAACTCAATCGTATTGGATCATGTTTACCAAAACAATTATCCCTGTCAGTTCCTGTTGCTTTGGTGAATTATTTATCAAACAAATTGGCAATAGACCAATCAGAGGACGGCAATTATCATATCATTGTATGGTTTTGGGTCTTGAGGACACCAAGGTGTGGGCTGTCAAGCAAGGCAGAGTACTTATGGGGGGCAGGTAGTTTGTCATCATTGCATAAAATAGTGTTTCCATACGGTCTTATCAATACACAGCCAGGCTGTGAATTAGTTTGTGAACGCCGTGGACGGTTAAAGTTCTCGACATGTTTGTTACTTTGCTATTAGCTGTGCTMGTTTCTGTGTGTTTACAAGTCGATTCACGCACAGTTAATTGGGCGCGAACCTTGCAAGATGAAAACTGGATGCACCATAATTACGACACCATGACAGCCTTGTTGAAGCAATTGCACAAAGATTATCCCAAGCTTACACATCTTTACAGCATCGGGAACTCAGTACAAGGAAGAGAGTTGCTTGTGATGGCGTTGTCAGCTAGTAACCCCGACAAACACGAACCTGGTAAGCCTGAGTTTAAATATGTTGGAAATATGCATGGCAACGAAGTCGTTGGTAAGGAACTGTTGCTGAAACTGGCCAAATATCTTACTGAGAACTACCAAAAAGATGACACGGTAACAAAGCTAATGAACACAACGAGAATCCATTTAATGCCCTCAATGAACCCAGATGGCTACGAACTTGCATTCCAAGGGGATAACAGGAAAAATTGGGTTATAGGAAGAAACAATGCAAATAATGTGGACCTCAACCGAAACTTTCCAGATCAGTTCGTTAAAACACCAACTAGTAAACCCGAACCCGAGACCGAAGCAGTCATGAAATGGATCAACGAGATCCCTTTTGTTTTAAGCGCAAATCTTCATGGTGGATCATTAGTAGCAAATTACCCTTATGATGATAGTCCGACCGGTCGATCGGAATACAGCGCTTCACCCGATGACGATGTTTTCCAGGATTTAGCCAAAACCTATTCAGAAACACATCCAACTATGCACTTAAAGAACCCTCCATGGGACTGCCCTGAGGTCCCCCCGGATCACTTTGATGATGGAATAACAAATGGGGCTAAATGGTATAGTGTGTCAGGGGGAATGCAGGACTATAACTATGTTCATTCTAACGACTTTGAGGTCACCATTGAGCAAGGATGTAAAAAGTTCCCTGAAGCCTCAGAAATGCCAAGGTACTGGAAGGAGAATAAAGACGCTTTGCTGGCATTTGTCGATAAGGTAATATAACTCATATTAAACCTGTTTTTTTGTTTATGTCTTTATTCAACGCCAACCCGTGAAAAACTTTGAATTCTCAATAACTAAATCCTCAATGACCATATGGTAAAATTGGTTTTGTCATTCATTGACCTTACAGTTTAAACGTACCTCGCTATCCTCTGAACATTCTGAAGCTTTTTAGAAAGTATTTCAAACGAACAATTAGCGTCTGACATTCATGCTTACTTAACATTTCACGCCACTTTCCAAAGCACACACTCGATGATTTCTCGGTTCACCGGAGCGTTTGATTATTGAAAATTAAAAGCTTTTCGGTCAATAAGTTCGTTTTTATGCCTTTGCTTATTGGTTGCCCATTCATCCATAATAAATATAGTTATTTTAGACTAGTCTAATCATCTGTTCCTTCCATTCACTTTTTTCGAGTTTTCATTCATTCTTTCATTTTTTCAATCATCATTTATCCAATTAAATTATTGAGTCTTTATGTTAACTTTAGGTCCATGAAGGTTTTAATGGGTTTGTAAAAGACGCCAACGACGTTCCGATTCCCGGCGCTAGAATATCAGTAGTCGGTCACAAGAAAGATATAGTCACGGCAGCTGACGGTGACTTCTGGCGATTATTACTTCCTGGAACCTACAAAGTGAGGGCCTCAGCGGAAGGTTTCAAATCAAAAGTCAAAAAAGTGACGGTGTCTCAAGGTAATCAGGGAGCTACGGTGAACTTTGTCTTAAAGAAAGGAAAAGACCCACCCAGACAGAACGACGAAGGATCAAAAGGCAAAGAGGACGAAGGCTTTGAAGTGTCGCCAGAGGATGTACAAAAGTTGATGGGCCAGGGAGGTATGGGAATGCCTGGTATGGGGGCACAAATGGGCGGACAGATGCCAGGAATGGTGATGGGTGGTGGTATGATGGGCGGTGGTGGAATGGGTGGTGGTGGAATGGGTGGTGGTGGAATGGGTATGCCAATGGGTGGCCAAGGTACTATGATGATGGGCGGAGGTGGAATGGGTGGTGGTGGAATGGGTGGAGGCATGGGTGGTGGTATGGGCGGAGGCATGGGAGGAGGAGGCATGGATATGAATGGCATGAATGGAATGGGAATGGGTGGCGGAATGCCAATGATGAACGATGTTCCTATGAATAATGAGGTCACCATGAAACTGCATGGCAAAGAATCACACGGCAAAACCGATCGTCTGAATAAAGCAGTCTCAAGAATCGATGACTCCACCAACCTATCGGAAGACAATGCACTGTTAGTAGGAGGTCCAATGAGGGACAGTGATCTCGACAAGGAGGCCATGATGTCACCTTATGAAGAGAATTCTAAAGACACTGAAGGAGCCCGTGTACGAATATCGACAGAACCAAGTGAGACTGCCAGTCAAACATTTGTAAAAAAGAATAAAATACCACAAAAATCTTCGCATCATCATCATCATCATCACCATCATCATGGTCATCACCACCATCACTGAAAGCACTGGTTCTGCTCAAAAAGCATTGAAAATAGAGATCAGGCGCGAGAAAGACCTCCCCCCGTGGTCTCAGTCAGAACAAACCAAAATAAGCTATGACTAACAACGTTTTGATAGAAAACTTGTCTTTATATAACAGGTTTTACCTGTTGTGATTTTGTACCGCATGCCGTTTATTCTCTAAGGATGACTGGCCTTTCGTTCGTGATTTATTCACTAGTGAAATTGTCAATAAAAGACTCTTACTTTGCTAAATGTTGTGATACGTTTCAATCAATGGTTGCTTACGATCATTAGCCCGTGAAATAAAACAGGTTACAGTATAATGCTCATGTGAAATTCAAACAAAAAAGCAAGTTCAAACACGGGTAAAATGCTACATTCAAATACTAAACTAGAAACGAACAAAAAYAATAAAAAAAATATAAACAATGGCAAAGAGTGAGAAATCATGCAACCGGATCCCGGTACTTCACATACAGCTATTTCAAAAAACGTTGTCGGGGAGAACGACGAACGGCGATTGTCGAAGAGAGATTGCACCGGACCGAAAGGGACTATGGTTACACTGTTTTGATAAACAAAATTTCACTTATTGGATTCAACTTACATAAAAATGGAGACTAAAGGATCCAGTGTTTACCACAGACTATGTTACAGTATAAATCAGTTGTTATTGCCTTTCAACTACCAAAACCCATGACTACTTTCGGTCGTGCAATCGCCGTTCGAKCATTGACATTCGCCATTTTATCTTGAAATAGCTATATATACACGGAGTGATTGTCTTGTAGTGAAACTGTATTTTTTTGCTTAATCGGAAAAGGCATGACTCACAATTGTTTTGTTGAAAATAATATTTCAGCATGGGAACAACATGTCAATCAATTTTGATAATCACTAATAGCAACTCTGAACGGGAGGAAGGAAATGAAAGTATGAGGGAAAAAAAGAACAGCTCCACAGCAACAAGTCACGTGGATAACATTTTTACATAGACAGATGCTGTACACATGTTGCCATAACAGAGTTCCATATKTATCGAGGGTAGCTTCGCGTCTTGTTTCTACTGTTAATTATTTACKAGAACTTATGACATTGTGATACATATATCCATTGATCACAGTTTCTATGGGTTTGTAAYGGTCTTCTTCGATTCTTAAGCTCAGTTGAAGTTTTCTTAAGATGATTTGTTGACTATTATTGCAGATTATTGGTTCATGTGTATATATAAAGGAGCTTCTCTAAGTAAAACATTAGAAAGTAAGTAAACTGGAACTGATTAGAATTCTTTCAGGATTTCACGCATTGATACCTCTACACGCATTCTTCAAGTGCTTTCTTGTAAACAATTTTGCTGACATATCTTTCAGAAAGATCTTTTTCGCCTTTTTGAGCTTGAAGATATTGCCATCATTCAGTCGCCTGACTTCTTGACTTAATTAAGACACGGGCATGGAACGGACTGAGCCCCTAATGTCACCCTTGTGAAGTGTCATGTAGTTTATCTTGCCAACCGTACATAGTTGAATAAAATCATTGACTAATGATTAAAGAAGAATTATTTCAAACTGAAGATTGTTCTAAAGGTTCYTAGTGGTCTATTACAAACGCCTGTGTTGTTGTTGTTAAATGTCTTGGGTCRTTCTCGCTGCATTGTGACCAAAACGCGGCAGACAAAGCTGGAAGCAATACCATGATAAATAATAGTATAAAACTGATGTCACGATACCCTCCTCCAATAGTTTGGAATATGACAAATAAAACCAAWATTACTATACACACTATAAAAACACAACTTTTCAAGATGCGAGTCCAGTCACAGCTACGTTTTGCCGAACGTTTCAAACGTCCCTCATTTGGCGTGCGCATAGTCAGTCTCACATCAYAACGRTTTCCAAACCATGTAATTTGTTAGATTGATACTTATTGCTCAAATCCACATAACGTTAGTTGATGGTATCCAACGAGACATCCGTACTATCGGTGGCATTATGCTTAGTGTCCATTGGCAGCCAAAAAATCCTGKAGTTGACGTCATGTCTCCATTGGGTGTTCCGTGACTCTAGCTGCGCTGATTTGCGTGACGCTCAAGCTAGATCGTGACGATTAAGCACGAATATTGTTATTATTATCCTCTTCTTCTTTTTCTCGCAGTGTAGTACGAAATGAGTAAAAATCATGTTCAATTTGTTTAAACTTTGCCTAAATGTGTAGGAAAAATGTACAATATTGTGTACAACTATAAATATTCTCGTATCAGGACTGACGGCTCTTTGCAAGATTTTAATTCTTAATAGGAATTATATCTTTTTTTAATTGTTTTGTGTAGGTTAGTATTTTATCGACGTAATATGGTGAAGAACTGATTTAGTGAAATTTAGTCACTCCTGGAAATTTCTATCTTATCTTAAACAAGCCTTGTAAAAGTTTCGGCAGGGTCTGTATTCTCATTTTTCAATTTTTTCAAACTGGGTTAACAATGTTAMTTTGGTTGTGAGTAGTCTTAACCACCTCGAAGTAAGAGGGTAGTTTGACGCATACATAATAAGGAGGAGGTAAGTCTTGCTGTACATACCATTCGTCATATACACTAGAAGTAGATGAGTTGGAGATAGATTCAAGACGACGCACTGTTGTASAGTCTTCAATCGACGCTGTTAATCTTGATTTTGATCTACACATACTGTAAGCCATTGATACCAAAAGCAGTGTTATTACAAGAAGTATTATTCCAATGATTTTATACGCCGGGCCTTTCTTAGCTAMCAAGACAAATATTAGTGTTGTACTAATGCCCAATATAAGAGACCATAACCAAAGCGCAAACAGACACTGGTCATAGCGACGGACGTGGATTGGTCGCCGGTTATTTGAAGATTCCACTCGACAATTAGGTCGAGGGAAGTTCGTAGTTAGAGTATGCATGGTTCTTTCAATTTGTTTAAAACTGAGATTTCATGTTTTATATTAGGAGATATAATCCGAGCCCCAGTCATTATCATAAATACAGCACGATCACATTTGTCGGTCACGAAATGTTTTTGATTACATGCCTGGATGCTGAAGCGTAGTGTGCAGCCAGTCAAGTGTTTCAATTCAAAAGAACTCAATCGCATCCGTTTCCATTTCTGTCTATTTTCTCTTGTTTTGTCTTGTTTTGTTGTTCTGTTCTGTTCTGTTCTGTTCTGTTCTGTTCTGTTCCGTTCCGTTCCGTTCGCCGTTTTGTTTTGCTTTGTTGTTGTTTTCTTTTCGCTTTATTTCGTTTTAGTATCTGTTTGTGGATGCGTTTAGTAAAAATATGTAAGTTAGTAAATACATAATAATAAACATCAGTAAAATTAATTTAAAGATAAACAATAAAATCCATTGGTATTAAATGAAGCTACAAAAGTTTACTGCAGTCCGTGGGCTTCCTGTGTTTAGTAATTTCTCGTGAGGAACGCCTGGATGATAATCCCTAGGGCTGTTCTGTCATGTTCCATAGTATGTCCCAATCATTTGTGGCTATTCCTCGGGATTTTCTTTGCCGTGTATGAAGAACTCAACCTAAAGAAATGGCGAATTGGTTAACAGTATTATCTGTCATTATATTGATGTCGTGTTGCTTTCWTGAGAGAGTTTCTACAACATTTAAGACCAAGAACGATAGTCTCAAGCACTTTATTACCGTCTCCCCTCAAGGACARGACAATGCAACATGTTTAAAAGCATCAACTTTGAATGCTTCGCAAAATACGCCTTGCAAAACACTGAATTACGCTTTCAACTCGACTAGAAACGKTACGATGTTTTTCCTTGAGCCAGGAGTCCATGCTCTTTCAGAAAACGCCACTTTTAACCAAGTGTATGTTGTACAATTTCTTGGAAGAAACAACTCAAACGTGACCGTTGAGTGTGCTTCAGAGGTGGGTTTCACTTTCACTCGAAGTGAACAAATAATAATTCAAGGAYTAKSTTTCACGCGCTGTGGAAGACTTCATAAAAGTACCGTGGGYTCAGCCTTTCGWCCAATCCATAAAGAACATGTTCCATTCCATGCTGGGGTGTTTTTTGCTTATTGTCGACACATAATCATGTCCAATGTCGTGATAACTAACAGTCGTGGAATCGGTATGGTATTGTATGACGTCGGTGGAAATGTCAGAATCGTTAATTCGAAGTTCAAAAGAAATTCMCCTGATCCTTATAATAACTGTACACATGAGTGCTTTTATACAAGYTCAGGTGGTGGTGTCTATGTGGAATTTACGTACAAGGGCGCTCTCCCACCTTTTAACCAGTCAGATCCTGAAAGACTTCAATATCAAAACAATAACYTTTACACCTTTGAAAMGTGTGATTTTGAACYAAACTTGGCTCCTGAACAGTGCTTTACAAATAAAATTGAATTCCCATCTGGTGACGAGCATATGCCATTTGGTAGAGGAGGTGGACTGTCATTCTTTATCAAAGGAACAACAAGAAATAATGCTATTAGCATTAATAATTGTAACTTTGTTCTTAATGGAGCTGTTTGGGGAGCAGGTTTGTTTGCAGAGTTTCAGGATAGCTCCCAAAACAACACAATGACTATTTCAGGGTCTAATTTTACCAGTAATTGGAACAGCACTGCTGGAAGTGGCATACGCACAGGGATACCAATATGGTCAGGCAAACTTCTAGCTAACAACATCATTCACGATGGATGTACTTTTGTGAATAATTCTGCTATGTTTGGTGGTGGAGTGTCACATTATGGACCATTGTATCGTCCTTTTAATGAAGATGACAATCATCGTGAAGTTGTCTACAGAAACTGCAAATGGATCAATAATCAGGCAACTTTGGGATCAGCTATTGGACTCTCTACCTCTGCCCTAGATCTTCCTCTAGCCAATATTAATCCTAAAGACAAAGGTGTGCTTCTTCATTACAAAGTTWGTCTTGAAAACTGTRGTCTTGAGAATAATCAAATTATAAAAACTGAAGACAAAATTGTCATTGGTCAGGGAGCTTTGTATACATATGCCGTACCAGTAGTTGTCAAAAGAAATACACATTTTGAAAATAATAGCAATACAGCTTTAGTACTTGATGGAGCCATCTTTCAAGTCTTTGATAGTCTTTCCTTCATAAATAATACTGGAATGAGTGGTGGTGGAATTGGTATGTATGGATTGTCAGTCATTGACCTAATGCCGGGATCCAGCCTGCTTTTCAAGAATAATTGTGCTGAAGAAAAAGGAGGTGCAATTTTTGTAGATCAACGCGGCCCCCCTGTGGTGGCATTTAAAACTACAGAACTTAACACCCATCCTTGTTTTCTTGTATACAATAACTCAATGAATTTGCAACATGTTAATGACTGGCTTACTAACATCACATTTGATTCAAATAATGCATCTGTGGGTGGTGGTAATTCTGTTTATGCGACAACTCTTCAAGGTTGCCGAAGACCTGGTGAGGGTAGGACTAACAATCAATCCCTTCAGTGGRCSATTGTCCATTATTTGAGGAACGACAACCAACCAAAAGATATTGGACTTGAAGTTTCCACAGATCCTATTTTTATAGAAATCGTTAAGAGCGACTGGCATATGTCTCCAGGGGAGGAATTCGGAGTTTCAATCAAACTGATTGGAGAAAAAAAGAGCCCTGTCCAAGGGGTAGTCAAATTAAGTCTAGAAGGTGATGSTAAATTAGGAATTCCATCTCCTCTTTTGCTTATCAAAGACCTTTATGGTACCAATAAAGTACCAGGTCTTAGCATCAAAGGCACGTGCGGTAGCGTCTTCAGTTTGACTTTGAGAACGGTCAGTGGACAATCTATAAGCACAAAGGAAACCAACTTACAGCTATCTGAGTGCAACCCAGGATTTTACCTGCCAAAAGGTGGTGATGAATGCATCTGCTCCAAGGAAAACATCATTGGRATCTCCCGATGTACTGAAGACAAACGAGACGTTTTTATCAAGAACGGTTACTGGGGCGGTAWGGTACCTGGTGGTCGATTTGATACTTTTGCTTGTCCGTCAGGATACTGTAATAAGAAAAACAATGAATTTACAAAGAGGGAGTACAAGCTTGTCAAACGTAATTTGTGCGAGAGTCACAGAAACAGTTCAGTTCCATTGTGTGGAAGGTGTGATGAAAACTACACCGTGTCGCTCGGCAGCGAACAGTGTCTCTCAACAGAGCACTGTAATAAGGAACGATTGTTGCTTCTAATTGTTTTCTTTTTARTAATGCTGTTGTTTGTYCTTCTTGTGCTCAAGATCGACGTRGACCTCTTTTCTGCGTATTTAAATGTCTGGCTTTACTCGTATCAGATCATCATGTACCTCATTAAAGAAAATGAAGTTTTTGACGTTTTCATATCGTTTGTAATTGGACTTGCCAACGGGAGATTTCACGTCACTGGTTTTTGTCTTATGCCAGGACTAACTGACTTGACAAAACTCGGCATAAACTACATTGTCCCTTTTTACATTCTCTTCGTGCTGCTTGTGCTGTCAAAAATCAGCAAGTTTTTCCCTCGTTGCTACATCAACAAAAATGTTTCCCATGCTCTATGCAATCTCCTGGTGTTCTGCTACACGGACATCACCCGAATATCGTTCAGCATCCTCCATTATGTACGCATTGGTGGAAGAAGCGTGTTGTTCCTAGATGGTGACYTCGAATTTGTTGAAGATTGGAAAACCCACTTGCCCCTCACTATCATGGCGAGTTTATTGGTGATTTTCTTTGTGGTTCTATTCCCATTGACRCTGCTTATTACGCCCTGGTTCTTTGAGAAGTTTCCTTTCCTCGTTAGGTATCGGCTMTTCTTTGACCTTTTCCAGAGTTGCTTTGATGACCCAGAAACAAAGAGGAAGCACCGATGGTTCGCTTCGTTTTACTTCTTTTGTCGCATCTGGATTATCGTGATCTCGATGTACTTACCGCTTGGACCGCTAAAGAGATCCATTCTGGAAGTTTCATGCGTCGTTGCGTTAGCAACGTTATTGTATATTCAACCTTACAACACGAAGTACAAATGGCTTAACACAACCGACGCCTTCTTGTTAGGTAATCTTTACCTCATCACTGTACTCAGTTCTTCTTTGAATAGCGATGCACCCACCAGTACCATCAAAGGTCTGAAGATTTTCATCAACATCCTGGCATATGTTCCTCTGCTGTACTTTGTGGTGCTGACTGTTTATTATGGACGCAAATATTTAAAAGAAAACCGTGGAACAGTTCAGCATGTCCGTTTGAATGATGAAACTACAGATGACGATAAGTCGAGGGAGGGCCAAGGGGAGGATGAAGCCGAGACCTCAAGACAAAATCATCCAATCTAAACATGTGAAAAATGGCCTTCAATTGACCTGACCAACAGCAAAATTAATGGATAATTTAACTAATTTRAACTAATATGGGCAAAARAAATCTAAAGGGTTTATCCTAAACATCAAAAAACTTAACTTTCAATTTAACGAGATGTTGCTTGCACAATAGGTAGTTTGAGAATTAACTAATGGGGCTACMGAATTAACTACTGATTAGTTACTATAAAAATGAACAATAACTYTAAAGACAGGCAATAAGATTACTGCTTGGTTTGTTCAAGAAGATGTGATCATGGATTTCGACTAGGTGGTTGCTAATATATATGCCTCATGATACAAGCGAGAACTGCAGTCGTCTCGCAAACGTTTTGTCAATTCCTTTCATAATGGAAAGCAAAACCAGTCTACGTAGTTACGTAGGATTTTTTTTTAAATTACTTTTATAATTMTAACGTATATTGCGCGATAGTATAAATCTTTGTTTCCTAAAGTTTAGTCGCGATATTTTGTACTTTGTAGTCTTCAGCAGCTTAAAAAGTTCAGTAGTGTTAACAACTTTGAAATTATTTTGTAAATGATGCCTGTAATTTTGGTGTTATGGGCACTATACGAAATGGGCTATCCATTTTTTAAATACAATTCTTATGACAATGACTGTGGGAAAAATGGAACCAAATTTTACTTTAACCCATWTATGGGCTCCTTTAAGCAGACTTTTAATTGCTACGAAAATGCACATTGTGCACGCCCTGTCTACGGCCCTGATCTGACTCAATTAATATTAGAAAATCAGAACAATTAGTATTACTAAACGGATGAATAATTTAGGAATTGRTAGCTAAAAGAAACACGAAGAATAGAACCTTACCTATTCTTCCTAATGTTTATAGACTGTAAGTCGTATTTCTATTAGATGTGAGAAGCATTATAAATGCCGGCATCATTTGTTACTAGATATTGTATAATTCATAAAATCTTGAAAAAATGTGTATTTATACAAAAAGAAATTTAAATAAATGATATTTTTCTTGTTATATCATAATTTTAGCCAGAAGTGTCGCAAAATYGGAATATTTTCATTTCTAATGCAAYCTCGACWTCYAAAGGTGTTTTCARGTTTTGTCAAACAGAGTCTACTATATGAGGACTGATTGCAACAAGCCACTCAATTACAAAATCTAGACTGATATCATAAGGACATAAGTCGTTGTATTCGCTCCTGGATTGTTCGGTTRGTCGCTCAAACTAGGASAGCTGATCGATATTGACAGAGAGTGAGCTGGTACCGACATATGTAATCCGCAGTCTAAAAAAAARCATCATTTTCAGAGTAAAATGCTCCTGCAAAGTAGACTACATTTATGATTACTTATTTTGTTCTTCCTGTCTAATATTATATGATGTCCAGCTGAGATCCAAGTCAAAAACATGAAAGATCACCCGGGGCGTCACATAATGATTATCCAATGAAAAAAATCCTCACCTAGGAATCGTCAGCTGTAGGCGAGTTGGTGCTTTCATTTGCTAATTTCATAGCAACAAACTGAAATAAACTTCAACGAAAACAAAAAGTGACATTGAAACTCATATCCGATGAGTACCTTGAAGAAACAGAACAGGTAAGATTCCACAAAGAAACTGAAAAATGTCATATTTTTTTGGAAAGTAAACAGAGCCATTTTTTGCAGATGATGGTTTGSCCGTTACATTTAAAAGTTTAGCTGAAACATTTTAACTAAATTTATATATTACATACATATTTTTAGTATCAAAACAATAGATAAAGCCGATTGACTTTACTGGCTTCCTAAAAAGTAACTTTAGTTTGGGTTAAAATTACAATATTTTAAACCAATGCCTTATTAAAAGTGAAGTACTTTTAATTTTTTATCAGTAACAGTAACAGCATCGAATGGTCAAAAAATAAGAAGATCTGAGGAAATCGGTGCTCGTCTTTTTAATACCCTTCATCTTCAGTAGCTATCAGTTTTCTTCGAAAAAAAAAATCAGTTAAATGCGGGAAATATTAAATGTTTTCCGAAATGGTGTCATGCGTGACAATGATTCCTTCCATAATTTCTTCTATAAATTTTCTCAAAATKCAACAAATAAATTATTTTTGGCATTCTTTCAATATATAATACGTCAATCAATCATTGAAAGACTTCTCAAAATAATTAATTCAAATGCCAAAAAAACATGAGCAGCATTTAAATAGGATTGCGTGACTTTGTCCAATTAGAAGAGTTCATAGAACACTGAAGTGGCTTCTCACAAGTCTGAATCGAACGCACGTCAACACCAAATTATGACTTCAACAATGGCAAATCGGCAAAATTATCYCAAAAAATCGCGAGTGGCTTGGGATAATTGGAAGCCACCAAACGTAAGAGCTCTAATTATCTATTATTACAGATAAGTACTTTGAAAAACTGCAATATTGACTTCTTCAACTTTCTTGTAGKTTGGTGCATTCACTGTAACACCTGGTTTTGCCTACAATATTGCTCGCTGTTYTCCAAGTTCGTCGCGAGCTTCRGACAGAGATCTTTGCGTACAGTTAATGCAAAAACTTGGAATATCGTCTGARCCAGGAGCTTGGTATATCACAGGTAATCATAAACAATCATAATTTATTGCAATCAAACATTCCTTTAATCCTACTAAACTTTTTTTCAAGATAAAAAACACAGAACATTCTCTAGAAGACCTCCGAGCGCACCACCAAGATTACGAGCCATGGATAGTTATTCTCAAAATCCAGAGAAATTCTATATGACAACCCACAAACGAGAGTTTACTGGTCTACAAGGACATCCAGCACCTAACGCCAGGTAGCCATGGTAACCAATCAATGGTCATTAATGAAATATTAGTCGAAAATGTACCTTTTTGTGCTTATATTTTCCAATAGACCATCATCAGCTAAGATATTCCCAGCTCGAAWGAATAATYACGAAACATCCTATGGYAAAGATTTTTGTAAAAAGTATTTCAAACAAGATGAGCGAAGCCAAATTTCGCCGAGAAATAATCCACATCCGTCAAAGGTTTGTGTGTCTTTTGAAGTTTGTGATGTGTAATTTTTTGTTGTCTTTTAGAAAATGTATCTTGGCCCTAATTTTGTTGCTTAGTAATAGCATTTTAAGAGGAAATATTCATCAATTCTTTAAAATTGTAAATTCTACTCATTCTAATATCGACAGCTGCGATGGCCGAGTGGTTAAGGCGTTGGACTTGAAATCCAATGGGATCTTCCCGCGCAGGTTCGAACCCTGCTCGCAGCGYAAATTTTTTTRRTMSRTTTTTTTTTGCTTTCTTCTTTACTTAAAAGTCTTTTCAGGTTTAATTTAGGAATATTCAACTTTTACTTTAGTCAAATTTGTCATTTTATGTGTTAATAAGGAAATCGATATAACTAATATTTCCCTGAAACATCATATTGAAATTTATGACCTCAGGCTTTCATGACTTGGAAATTCAGCAGTTCACAAAAACCTGTCCTCGATCCCGCAGCATATACCACTGAAAACATGGAGGAAATAGCATATCATCAACTAAAGACGACTTACCAAAACGACTTCACAGGGATCCCACAAGGTTTAGAAATCTTTTACCTTTTAAAACTTAAAACTTAAAAGTTCTACAATTTAGTTATCCTTATTAGTACTCTAACTATTTATTTAATTTATTCATCTTTTTTATCATTCTTTTTAAAATCAACCATTCATTTGTCTATTCCTTTATTTCTTTTATTTTTAATTCTWACATTTATCCCTTCATTTCTTTTTTATCATTCAAAAAATTAATAAAAACCTTATTTTCTTGTAGGGGTTCAAATACAGACGGTTTTTGATGGAGATGTTTCTGAAAACCTCCCTAAACCACCATACACTTTAGACTCAACATCGCGTTACAGCTACCAAAAACCTGTGATATACGATGAGCTACAATGCCCCACCTTGACACGATACGGATGCAATCGAAACAAATACAAAGCCACTGTAGGAGCAGGTTTGAAACCAAAAATTTCTTCAATCTTTTACTGGATAATACATGGGTACAAAATGATACAGATCTTCAACTATTGAAAAGATACATGTACTCATGAGTGAGAGATATGTAACACAACAAGATGAAATCTTTATTTCTGCACAGCAAGCTCCCCTAAAGTTACCATACAAAAAGTCTCATCCTAACAGTTTATAAAGCTTAAATATGAATAATAATCCTGTCATTTCATGGTATTTTCTAGTTCCAACTGTTACAGTAGCACAGCCTCAAATGCACCTCTCTGGAAGAACGCAATATACTGATGAATATAAAGACGTCCTGTCCAAAGTATGCAAATTGTTATTTTACTCAAATACTATTTATGACTGAAGATAGACTGTTWTAGGAAATAAATATGCGATTTGCGAATTTCACCTCAAGTCAAACACAAAAGAAATGAGGTGCTGTGTGTAAAGCTCAGTCAATTGTAAAAAAACTATTGTATTTTCATAATTAATTGAATGTTGACCAAACTTTATACACCGCGCCTTGTCTTGATTCCTGTGTGTTTGACTACTAAGGCGAAATTTGGATGTCATCTATTGGAGAAGACATCCCTATTGTTTTATTCAACATTAACTATCATCAGTTATTTGGCTTGTGTGACAGCTCTCGGGGATGGAGGATGGGTGTATAAAGGTAGAATTGTCTTTCCAATCACCCTGATTTTGGCAGTGATATGCATTCTCCAATCTCAGGTCCATTAACCATAAGTCAATCATCTGTGGTTTTGTCAACRAGTATTTTAACTTAATAAGCTAAACCACAGGCACCCCATCCAATTGGTGATTGACACATTGGATGATAAAAGATGGGCTTCCTGTGGTTAAACCTGGTCACTGTCATTTTCTTTGCTGACCAGCAGCAAATACTTCATTTTGATGTTTAAATTATTGAATTATTGTAGGTGAAAGGCAATCAAGTGCGGCATAAATCAGGACCAATTCCWGCCTTAGAAGAGTTTTTAAAACATGCAAGTCAACAAGGTATGTCACATTGAAAAATATATTTTAATGATAAATGTTCCTTCTCTAATACAAATATATAATATTCATTTTAGAAAGAGACTCTTTACTGAAAGAATTGKAACAGATTGTTAGAAATGACAGCAAAGATACTAGAAATCCTCAGTGGTTCTCAGACTATGCTGGACCATCTTGAGTCATTTATTTGTTATCAATAAAACCGTGCATGCAGAACTAATCATTATTTCTTGAATTATAATATAAAAATAAAGCTAGGCTGTGATGCTACTATTATTTTCAGATCCTTCTTGAAAGAACACTCAAATTAGTCACTTATGCTTCACTACTGCTACAATTCACATAATAAAATTCTTATCTCTATAAATTAATTATTTTAACAAGCTTTGTTCCGATGAGTAATAATAAGACTATTGCCCTTTTTAAAAAAAATGTTTTCCAAACCAATGCTATGTTTGTACAATTTAAGTACAAAATCACAATGAATTTGATTGTCTTCTGATATCATATCATGTTGAGGTTAATCAATTTAATGTTATACATTAATAATTATGTATGACATACATTTTTCAGTTTTTCTCCGAAATAATATGGTTTCCAAGTCATAAACCCATGTCATGTCAGTGATGATAATTTTACTATAGAAGCTACTAGACAATTTTAGTCAGTCAATCACTATAACATAAACATGTTAAGTTTTGTTCAAAAAACATAGGTTTTGCATAAATTACCGTATTTACCCATGTATAAGCCACACTTTTTTTCCCAAAAAATCGTTCTTGAATCAGGGGTGCGGCTTATCTACGAGAAGACTTTGTAAAAATGCCAGATAAAAACTAATTTGCATAAATTAGTATGAAAATTGGTGATCTTCTGAATATCAAGTTAATTTGCAACCTTTTAAAAATAGCTTCATGCACAATTCATGATGAAGACAATCAAAAGACACTGATACACCACAAATAGTCCCCTTCTTGGTTCCCAGCGCCATCTTGAAAGGTAGCCGTTGAGCYTGCAATGATAGAAACCTTCTTTCATACCTAAAGACAATTATTCACAGGTATCTATCATTGCACYCTCAACAGTTGTCTCGCTTCAATGTAAAGGCACGGATACCTTTCAAGATGGTGCATGWAACCGTGAAGGAGAGTATTGCTGCTAATTTGATTTGTGCTTTGATTGAATTGTATGTGCTAACTGTAAAGTTATTGAAATKATACAAAACAAAGGGAAAACAACCCAAAATCCACTGGGAACTATGAATAGAAACACAAATTTCAGCCATGAAAGTCCTGTAAAATACATGTCGCCAAAACACAAWGGCGAACTCATGAGGAAATACAGGACTGTCTTGGAAAAGGTCATTGTTGTTGCTATCAGGACAAATGGTTGTGTATACACAGATGACTTCATATTCTAAAAAAATACCAAAACAAAACTTATGAAATTATGACTGTTTTTCATATTTTCAAGAAATTTGTTTTTGTGCCAATTTGTAGGGAAATAACTACAGAACCTAAGTGTGCAGGTCATAGTTAGTAGAGAGGAATTTCCCCTCTACCAACTATCGTGTGGTTTATGTATGGTATATTTAGGAGGGTAAGGGAAAAAAGGATTCCTGTAACATAATGATCATATGAATATTTTTAGTTGTCAGATTAATTACAAAAAACATTGTCCACAAAAAAACATGACWTTTTAGCAAATAACTGAAATACAGAAGAAAAAGTCCAGCATGAGGTCATCTTTTGGCTTTTAATATATTCCTATAAAACTAAATTAGCTAATCTAATCGGGCAACATTTAATTGTCATGAAGTATAAAATGGTATCTTATGTTTTCTTACCAACATTAAACCAATGCAGTTCAGGAATACTTCAACCAAATTCATCCTGTCAAATAGCATGAAAAATAAAGATAAGAGGTGGAGAAGGATCATAATATTAAAAGTACAATGCATGGAACAAGGGAAAGAGAGATTTATTTTAGAAATTGTCTCCTTCACGCTCACCACGATATCTTGAAATGTACCTAAGAGCAAGACAAATGTCAAGCGTGCAATGATAGAAACCTTTCATACCTAAATTATTATTATATCTATCATCAATGATGATAATGCTTCAGTGCAAAGGCACTGCAAACTTTCAAGATGTAATTAAYCATGAAGTGACTATTTGGTCATCATCTAATTTATGACTAAAAATAATATTATTTATACTTACCAGCTTTGCCCAATCACAAAGCCATCTTTCATGTCACCATATCTTCTATCAATATCAATGTAGATGTTATCTGTACATCATTGAAAATCAATCAGTTTGGATAGATTTCCATGTCTCAACTATTTTAAAATGCAGATCCCTGCAGTTGACTTTGTAATTGCAATTGTTAAACAACATAGCGAGAAATTCTTGACTCCCACCAAGCCGTTAATCTGTCTTCTTTTTTTTTTTACAGAGAGGGCACTGGGCAATAATTAATGCAAGCATACTAGAGTACAAACATTAAATGTGTGCAACACTTTCCACTATAATTTACTTCAAAATAGTGTTAATTAAGCAATAGAATTAGCATATTTAGCAGTATTTAGTAGTATTTTTGTTGCACAGTTTTAGTGTTTGTACTRTATTCCTCCATTTAAACGCTGCCTGATAAGGCAGGCTGTAATGGTTTCCAAGGCTAACAGGTCARTTAATATGACCAGCAATGGGGTGGAGCTGGTTAGTTTTCCTAGTTGGAAATGGGATGAGTTGATACGGAGTATCATCAAGGGGTGCATTGGAATTTGAGGAGGGAGAATTAAAGGGTTCACAATTTTGCAAATTTTTGCATCATATGCAAGGAAATAGCTTTTTCCCAGTGATCCCAAATGGAGATTGGTCCTGACTTATCCAACTGAGCCTTTTCTACTGATTTCACATCCAAACACTGTTCCCCCAATCGCGAAACCTTATTCTTGATGTAAAGTAAAACGGGGCCTGATCAGTGACAGTTTAAAGCATGCCGTAAAAATAAAATGCAGACTTTCATGCAGACGATATTGTCTATCTTAACTTTATAATATTCAACGTACTACTTACAGTAACTCACAAAAAAATTCAAATCTCCTCCAGGCATAGTACGAGGTCTAAGWAGCACAAACAATGCATCTAATACGACCAAAATAGACGATAAAAACAGCCATAAAACAATCCATAAAGGAAGTTTCAAAGTGTTAGAAGCCATTTTCAGTTCGAGTCTAAAGGTCACATGATTCATGGGCCTCCTGTGGTAATCAAATCTTACAGCGGTTTATTCAAAAATATATACTTTTTACATGTAATCAAGAACAAGAATGTCACATTTTGGAATAACTTTGACTGTTTTTGTTTTTATTTTTATTTTTTCATTTTACTTGTTTATTTTTATTTTCATTTTTAGTCAGTGTTATTCATTTATTTATTAATCTTTTTTTCTTTTTTTTAAAGTCATACAAGTTAAGTTTAAAAGAACTTCCCAAAAATTAGTGACAAAAGAAGTAAAAAGAAGTAGAAAGAAAGAGAACAAAAATAAAAGGAAAATTGTGGTAAAACGGTTACCCATTCAACAGAAGACCACTGCGTTCACCTTTGAGGTCGGTGACTAGAGGAAATCTCTCTATGATTCCATATACATGATATAAGCTCATAGAAAAATACCKCACAGCAAGTACGAAAAAAAAACTCTAAAAATGTGCAGTTGCAGTCGAACAATTTCATTAACTGGACAAATTGAGCGTAACGAGAAAAACAAACATATATAGACTATGAAAATATCGAAAATGCTTAGTCTTTTTACGATTTAGTGACTTGTTTTGACGAAGACAGTGGACGTATTGATTGGAAGTATTTAAGTTTGCTTGTGTAGAACGGTTCAATCAGTTTCGAAGATTCCCGAACAGTGCAGATTTTATATTATTCTCTCCTTGCTAAAACACTTAAACAATACCACAATGCTATGCGTATTTTTAAACTCATCGCATTTTCAAGGAAATAGCAAAGTTGCTTGAGCATCGTTCCGAGGAACTAGGCACAAAAATTATAAAATTTCATCAGAGAAGAGCATTTGTAGTTAAAGAACTTTAGAGAGTCTGTAAATACCAAATTTAGCATATAATCAAAGCTAGAATTACGAGTGATTTGTCTTCCTGTTTCTTATCTGGATCATCTATAGTATCACTTGCCATGTCAGCCGGCATAAGTACATAAGACTGAATCGCCTCTCATTCTCAGACGATGACTCACAAACCTTATATAGTTCTTGTTTCAGTGTTGGCTGAACTGATAAAATTCGCAACAAATTGATTACATTTTCCATTCGTTGTGTTGGTCAATTTTAGCGGTTATTTTTTGGCTTTGTCGCGTTAACTTAAAATTGGCGATAACTTTTTTTTTCTTTTAGTWTTTCTTCTTTTTTGCTTTCCTTATGGCCTTTATAGAATTGTGTTAGTATATGTGTTGATCACAATTCCTAGCACTGTTTAATCAATGAAAAAACTGGTTTTATTTACGCCTCTCAGTGTTCAAAACCTCAAGTGATTCACGCACAAAAATTCCWTCCGTGAGTTTGCTTCCCAGAACCTTCCTATGATAGTCCCCACCCAACGTCTTATCTTGTTTTCATTATGTCAACACAAGGAACTGTGGTATATAATCGAACAACCGAGGATATTTGCCGGTTTACCTCAAGATTTTCACTCGCCATGAAGTTTAGTAAGAAATGGCTCAACAACATTTCTTAGGGACGACATTTTGTCCAATGAGTGTTTACAAGGGTTGAGGTAAGACTCGCTGCTTTCAAAACTTCATTCCAAAGTTATTTGAATCATGTTGAATATATTCAAAGAAAGCAACAGTTTAAGAAAAGCAACGTTCATTTCCTGGATTATTATGATGCTTTGACTACACKAAAACCGGCTTTTTAAGATAATAAGAAATAATACAAGATGAGCCGTTCATTTAGTCGCAGAATYTAAATCTAGTCGCGATCGAGTGATATGACAATTCCATGGATAATATTTTTTTTGTTAGTGTGGCGATGACTTGATAGATATGTAATTAACTTTAAAAGTAAGTAGTTTAGAGGTAAACTCTGTCGGTGGATGTCTATTAGGTTRTMGTTTTATTTTTCTGGTCAAGAATTACACGTCRTGGTATTTTGTCCAATGTGTCCCAGTGTACTTTRCGGCGCACCACCGACAAGACATCATYTYCTGCTGTAGTGAGTTGTTATGTCTCCATATCCAAGAATGCCAATTGATGATATTCTGATGATCTTGTTTTTTGAATGTTTTTATTGTTAGCTTTTTTGTTTGTTTACATGTTTATTTGGTTTCATGTTTGTAATGTTATTGTTGTTCTGCGAGTTTTCAGTTGTTTATAGTTAATTAGTATCAGATCTTTTCTCGCTTATCGTCGCAGTTTTTTTCTAAAAATGCGAGTGTTTTGGTTTCCATGAAGGAGAYTGGGAAGGTCAAATACTTGTCGCTAATAAACCAACTTGCGTAAATCCGGTTAAAATTCTCTACTTGAAATAACCGTCTGCGTTTTACGGGTAAACGCTGGATGAAACTCGCGCTAATAAAAAAAACATGGTGCTGACAAACTCGTCTGATATCCGGGAAATGTACTCATGACTGTTCGCGCAACAGTTAATAAGAAGGATGATGTAAGRGGTGAAAATATACACTAACTCAATCTCGTACCCSRKG